AAGACTCTTTGCGAAGAGCCTGGGCTGTTCTTCCCAATTCAACTTCGGGAGGATTTAGGACGCCGACGCTTCTATTAAGCTTCTCTTGTGGATTTACAAATTGAGGAGCGTTGGAGGCTTTTGGGGAAAAGCCCTCCCCCCTCGTCCACCAGCCCTCCCTTTTGGCATGAGCCTGTCGACAGGCTCCACCTGGAGACAATGATCGCAGAGTTTGTCCACTTCTATCTCTTTGGATTAGTATGTCTCTCTTCAGGTAATCGCTGCCCCCCCCTTTACTTTTTAATTATGTAGTATTGCTGCTATTGTGGTGTCGCTACAAGGGCGGACTGTCGTCCTCAGCCTGGAATTTGGGACAGGATCTGAGTATAACAATGCGTTTCTGATTCTTGGTAGGCTAAGGGGGCCCCCGAATTAAAAAATGTATTGAATCTCCCTTTCACAACAATGGAAATTCTCGACAGCTTTTCTTTCTAACTCTCATCCTCTGACCAGCCATGAGGCACTGAAGATGCTGAACAAATTTTTCTAAACGTCGTTTCCTTACACTTTTAGGACACTTCCCCCCCCCCTTTTATATACCTATTGAAATGGTTTCCCCTCTTTTGGTAGAACTGAATCCCCTCTCCCATGAATGGTACGACTTTGCACCCCCACCTCTGGGAAGGAAAAGCAAGACTTTTGGTACCAAAAGACCAGCCCACAGGTGCCTCTGCGCTGGCCAGTCCACTTAAGTCTGCGGGACAGCACTCTGGAACCATATCTATTTAAGCTTGTGCGTGTGTGGCCAGGAAATCTCGACTGGTGCGGTGACGGGGTGCGCTACTCCTTAATAAATATGTGCTACTCATCTTCCTGTATGTGAGCTAGTGTAGATCTTGTAGGTTAAACTTCTCCCCCCACCCCCTGTATCCTTCCTGCTCCCACCAGCCACCCTAGTCGGCATCAAGGGGCCTATTAGTACTTGTTTGATGTATCCAAGAACTGTAATTAAAATAGATCATAAATAAACTGGAGGAAATGATTTCTTCTTCCCATAGGATATAAGTAGTGTTCTTGATTCAGTTCCAGAGAATTGGAAATGGTGTTGGTGGAGGCGGGTGGGAGGAGGTCAGAGAGACTGGTGGAAATTGGCACTTAGAAGTGTGATTAACACACTAGGTTTTGAGTCTCTCAAAATCTCCTTAAGGACACACCATCTTGGTCGTTGAAATATTTGTGTGGAAGTGTAAAGTCATTGATGCTTTGTTCTAAGTTCTAGACATGGATTTGCTTGGAATGAGCCTCCATGAGAATACTTGTGAAGTCCGAGGAAGGGATGTTAGGGATCAAGGTAGAATTATTATCTGATGCGTTAACCAAGTTTATTATGTATGCTTACTTGGAACAAGGCAAGCCGGTTGAATTTAGTAAGCATAGGTTTATAGCCTTAGGCGGATAAGTTCTTGTTTTTTAATAATCCCTGCTTCATCCATCTAGAGGGGTTCTTTCTTTTCTTAGCTTACTTTAGCAAGTTGAAGCCTGTGCTCAAACCCACCATGAGTTGGCAACTTTAAGATAATATACAAAGTGAATTTTAGGCTTGAGCTATAATTACTTTGGAATATTCACTACAGTAGGCCTTAATAGTTGATGTATCTGTAAACGGTTACATGTTCACCATTTCCTACAAAATAGCCATAGGTTTTCTAGCTAGGTCTGAAAGCATGGCACATGTGCTATATCGTTCAGTCTAACCACAAACATTTGCTACAATCCTATGAAACCTATTCCCTTGATCAGAGGTGACATGAGAACTGTCTGGAGAGGAAAAGGAGCTACTTCCCATGTGCTGAATGTGAAATAACCCAGGAGGCAGGGTTTACTTTACATTTGGGCAGCTGGCTCTGTGGGAGTAGGACAGGTGAATGGGTTAAACCTGAAACCTTCTGTCTGCTTTTTTCTTCAGTTCCTGAGTAATGTCACCAGCTCAAGGAGTTTCCATTATTTCTTGGAGTGCTCTTTACCACAATGTTGGATGTAAATCACAGTCACCGGAGGAAACTGTCTCACTCACCTCTTTTACTAACAAACGTCCTTGCAAAAATAGGCCTGTATTACTATTTTTGATGTGCTTGCCTCAGTTAAAAGTTTATTCTCCTGTGTAAAGTGACAAGTGTGATAAATGGAAGGAGGGCAAGATCATTGAACAGATAGAGGGATTAGTGGCTATTAGTCACTGTTTGAACTCGGTTTCTTGGCGCTGGGAAGTTTATTTAATCATGGATGCAAACGAAGTCATACCAGTGTGGTAGAGTTGCTTCCTAAATTCTTTTGCAAGTATTAATGGTAATAATAATGGTAATAATGATAAGCATAATAATAATAAATAATAGTCATGTCCCTTCACAATAAGCCCAGGAGTCAGTAAGGTGCTGTGGAATTCATTATTTATTTCCTCATTCTACTTCACTTGCTTTAAATTGTACATGTATTCTGTATGTGTTAGTTTACTGTTCATACAGGATATGAAATTTCCTCAACTTCAGCTGATATATAAGTTTGCATTAATCTTTTGTTTCCCTTCCTGTGTGTACATACTTGTCTGTTTGAGGAATAGGCAGGACAGTTGATTATTTCTCCACTTTCTCACTTCCTGCTTCTTATATTGTGGATTGCAGCATGTCAATCAAAGTGAAGAATACTTGAGCCAATTGTAGTATTTACCCCATAAGAACTAGTTGATGTTGTGATGCACAAAAACAGCATTTTCATAATGTGTGCATTATAATCCATCAGCTTAATTACCCTAGTAGTATTTTCCAGATATGCAAGATATTTAAGAAATGCTTTTACCATTGCTGCCCCCACCGAGTTTCTATGTCTGAGCAGATATTTGAACTCAGGTTTCTTGAATAGAAGTCCAGCACTGTCCACTACACCACACCTTATTTGATATTTTTTAATATAAAGAAATAGTGTTTACAGTGCAGTCCTATAAAAGTTCACTCAGGAATAAAGCCTATTGAGCTCAGTGGCCAAATCCTGTTGCTTAAAATGGTAAATTCAACTAGAGTAGGCCCATTGCATTAATGGAGATATGGTGAGTCAACTCCTCCATATGTTCAAATGGCCCTAACATAGTCAGTTAGAGTCAGTCTATTTGAATCAATGAAACCTATGGAGGAGTTGACTCACGAAATCCCCAATGGGTCTACCACTGTAGTGTGATTTACTACACTATGCAACAAGATTTTTATCAGTGAGATTTGCTTTTGGGAAGCTGCTGTAGGATTGCTGCCAAAAAGCAAGATCTGTGTGAAGATGATTAAAAACTGAGTATTTTGGCTATTGATTTTTCTGAAATTAGCTCTGCATAGGTTTTCATAGGCAATATGGAAAGTCTACATCTTCCTTATAGGCCCTAATGTAGCTTAATAACGTAGCAGAGAAGCACTCCAACTAATTTCAAATTCTGGAAATTTATAGTAAATAGAGAAAAAAACAGGTTATTGAATAAATAAGTGGGCAAAACTTTGAGAATAAACATGAAGACAAAGACAAGATGGCATTTCCCTCTGTCAGCATCTTAGAGTATTACAACTAATGAATTGTCATTTAAGTACTGTACTGTATTGCACTCCATCCGAGTCTGTAAGTTCTCAGACAACAAAGCCTGACTTGCTGTCTTGTAGGTTGCAGTTTGTATCACTGACACAAATTATCCTCGACTGTTACCATTAGTTCTTTTAAATACTTCCAATAACTTTTTATAGTCTATGTCTGTTTTTGTCCAACTTCTGATGGGATGGGAGTGGGAAAATTTGTTTGTTGGAATGAAACATTGAAAGTTCCAATTTTTAAAAACAAGATTATTCAGGAATTGCTAAACTTGTTTTTTGTACAAGGAGTATTCTTACCCTTCACTACTGTATTTAGAACTTTTGCTTGTATTGCTGCTTATGAACAGACAAGGATGAGAGCTAACAATTATTGTGTTTAAATTTTAGCCCAGGCACAATATCGGAGAATATGCTCAGCCTTTATAATGTAGTGTACCAATATTCTCCT